GGCTTCAGGCGTAGCTTCTCTTTGATAACCTGGCCCAGGATTTAGGGGGCTCAGCACCCCATGGCCACACCCAGGCCCCTCGGCGTGGGTGAGAGGCCAAGCTGCTGAGCCAGCGCGGCTGCTTCCCGCTCCGGAGAACCTGCCGCCCGCCGTGGGGGTACCACCCTCGTCCCCGGGGCAGAGCGGCTCCAGCAGCCTCCCTGCGAGCGGAAGGAGGCACCGCGGGATGGGGACCCACGTACCTGTGCCACCAAGGCTTTGCGGCTGTCCCTCTTCACCGCCATGGCGAAGTCCAGCCACGTCCACGTGTTGTTGTGGTACTCCAGGCATGGCAGCACCAGGTTCAGGTCGCCCCAGTCCACACTGTTCTTCTCGCCCTGGGTGACACGGGGGTCAGGCAGCGTGGGACAATGCCCCAGGTCACCCCGCAGCCAGAGGGGCTGTGTCCCCTCCCCAGCACACCCCGTCCTGCCGGCCCCGCACCTTGTAGCTGACGCAGAGCGGCACCTGCGGGATCTTGATGTAGATGAAGGAGTTGTTCATGGCTGCGCGCTCCTTCATCTTGTCGATGTCATCCACGGGATGCTGGGGACAGAGCAGGAGCCATGAGCAGAAGGGAAGGAGAGGGGACGCAGCCAGGAACCAGCGGGGAAGGGACAGCTGGGCACTAGGCCACGGCATTGCTTCACTGGGGAGAGGTGAGAGCTGCCCTGGCATGGTGTTAGGAAAATGAGATGCTGCAGGGATCACACCAAGTGTGCAGGTGCTTGGTTGTAAAGGATGCAAATCCTCATGGTGGGAGGGAGCAGGAGAAGACGGACAGGCAAGCGGGGGAGGACATGGCTGCCCAGCCCTGCAGCCCAGGGAAGACAGGCTGGCTCCACAGCAGGGCTCTCCCAGATTTCCCCCTCAAGGCAGCAGCAGGTACCTCAGGTGCTTTTCGGAATGATCTTCTGACCCCTGACGTCCGATTCAGTCCCTGAGCGACTCCCTTCCCTGGGCCCAGCGAGTCATCGGCCACGATCAGCTGCCGCGGCTTCCCCACAGGAATCCCTGGGACAAACAGGGTGGGAAGCGGTGTCTGGTGTCTGGCTGGGGGTTGGCCGTCACCCAGACCCCTCCCAGCTTCGCTGCTCTCTCCACCGGCTTCCCACCCACAGGGGAGACCACGAGTCCCTGTTCCTTGATGTGTGGCCCACCAGCAGCTGCCCACATACCCTGGACACGCAGCCAGAGCTGCTCATGGACATTGCTCGGGTGCCAGGGAGGAGGGTGACCGTCAGCCTCTCACCTGTCGTCACCAGCTTGGACTTGTCTTCCTCATCCCCCACCTCCTCCTCCTCCACGTTGCGGCCGGGGAAGAAGAAACCCATCATCCTGTGGAAGAACTGGTGGGTGAGCTGGATGGTGAGGGGTACCACGTTCACCTGTGGGGAGAGAGGGACGTCAGAGCGGGGCACACGTTGCTCATGCCCCGTGGGGACCCTGCCACCTCCCAGCCCCGCCCCAGCACCTCGAAGTGCTCCTTGATGGAGATGCCTCCCACGGGTGGCCGGACCTTGCTGAAGATCCTCAGTGCCAGCTGCCGGCCAGACTGGCAGGAGCTCTGGGGACGCAGCACCACCTGCAGTGAAATGGGTGGGTGGGGTGAGGACAGGCCACCCTGGCCAGGCCACCCGTGGGTCCCCAGGGTGCGGGGCTGCTTCCCGAGGCTGCTGCTTGCCTTGTACACAGCATTGGGCAGGAGGTTGTTCATCGTGACCCAGCCCAGTTCCAGCAGATGCTCGGCCGTGTCGTCAGACTTGTTGACCTGCGCACACAGACCCATCACAGCCCCGCACAGCCCGGGCCCCGTCTCAGGGGGCTGTGGGTGCCACCAGCCGGCTCGGTACCTTGCTGTAGAGGAAGCGCTGGAGCTCCAGCTCGGCTATGCCCAGCTGCCCGTCCTCCTCGGTCAGGCGCCAGCGTGCCTGGGCGAAGTAGAACTCGGTCCGCCGCGCCACGCTCACGTCTTCTGGCTGCTTTCGCAGCTCCATCTTGTTGGCTCGCTGTAGCTGGAAGTCCTTGAAGCACCTGCAGCAGAGAGGGGAGCGCTGGGATGTGGGAGCCCTGGAGTAAGGGGGACACAATGCTGGGGAAGCCAGAGATGGCCCCTACCTGATCAGTATGTTCAGCTCCTCGCTCTCCAGCTGCAGGTCAGCTTTCTCCTGGCTCAGCTGCTGTTGCAGCCTGTGGTTGAGGTCAAGCAGGCTCTCGTTTTTGCTGTCATCCTGCAGGGACTGAAGGACAGACAACCCTCAGCACCCTCTGCCCCAGAGCAGGGACCCCAGGGAGCCAGGCCCTGCCGGGATGCGGGCTCACCTTCACGTTGGAGTACATCTGCTTCTCCAGCTGCCGGATCTGGGCGACGTGCTGCCTCACGGCCTCTTGCAGGTGTAGGATACTGCTGCGCTGCTCCTCGGGGTTGCTGGAGATTTCCAGCTGGAAGCGCACCCGTTGTTTCTTCTCGCTGTGCTCCTGGACACAAGGATACAGGAAGGTTAGGATTGCCCTGGGTGCAGCGAATGACATGCTGACCTGAAGCCTCATGGGTACCTTGCGTTTGGGCTCCACATGCAGCAGCAGGTTGTTGACTATGTCAAGGATCATGGCATACTGCGCGGGGTTGGTGGAGATCTCCAGGTCATGGTGGATCAGTGTGAACGTGTCCACAGCTCCTGCAGGGACACGCAAGGGCAAGTGGGGCCTCAGCATGGCCAGAAATGGGAGGCATGTGGGGCCAGCCAGAGATGGAGAGGGATGGGGAATGAGCCGAGGTGGTTACGCTGGCTCCGGCAGGCACGGCATGTCCAGCATCATCTGGTGCACTGCCACATGGCTGGGGACCGGTCTTGTATGCGCCCCTCTGATCTCAGCAGGGCCAAGACAGACCATCCCTGGGACTTAGCCAGCACCTGTGGGTCAGCCCAGAGCTCTACGCCCTGAGACACGCTGCCTGGATGTACCCACCCTCCTGCTTCTTCAGCAGATCCTCCTTCTCCTGGTTGGCAGGAGTCTCGGGGGGCTTTATCTGCGTAGCCAGCTCAGGGTCAATGTCATGGCTGTAGCTGATATAGTACATGCGGCAGCTGCAGCGAGAGATAATCCTCTGCACCTGCTGGGTCTGCTGGGCTTCTGAGGGCTGGTTCCAGTCTGGGGACAGGCAGGGGGACCACAGTCAGAGCACCATGTCCTGGCACGTTGGGGACCCCACAGCGCAGGGCTCAGAGCATCAGCCAGCTCCTGAAGCCACCCAGGGACAGGCCAGGCGTGCTCAGCTTCACTGGCCTTGGGGTCACAGGTGAGTGGGATCAGGGTAGGCACAGCAGCCAGCTCTGCAGGCAGTACCTGTGGTGGTGCTGACCATGCCCCCCACCGCCTGCCCACTCTCCATCAGCTCCTGCACCGAGTCCAGGCTCCGTTGCCGATGCTCCTCAATATTTTTCACCTGGGGACACAAGGAGGCACCGCTGGCCGTCCCTGCTCTCCCTGCCTTGGCCAGGGCACCGGCAGCGCTGCCCGTTCCCCACGCAACTCACCCATCACAGCCTCCCCGAGCTGCTCACCTCCAGCCAGAGCTGCCCGTGCTCCCGCTCGGTGGGGCCGCTCTCCGTCGTGGCAAAGTACTGCATGCCATCCAGCAAGCAGGTCCAGGACGTCTTCTGCTTCAGCGTGTCCCCATACCAGGCGGGGTGGTGCTGGCACTGCAGCAGCTGGGCCTTCGCGGCGGACACAATCACGCAGCCCTCTGTCTCTGCACCGCGCAGCACCATCTGCGGGGGGAGAGACCCTAGGGGTCAGACGAGCCCCTCTGGGCCAGGCACGGCCCCTCTCACGGCAAGGTCGTGGGAAGCGGAGAGCGTGGGGACAAGGCAGGCTGGCCAAGGGCAGGTACCTGGCAGTTGACCAGCTCGATGAGGCAGTTGCGGTTGTAGATGTCGTCGGTTTGGCAGGCGGCGATGCCGCACAGCTGCTCGCTAGCCCCCGATTCCTCCTCCGTGAAGACCACAAACTTGTCTGTCTCCTCAATGAGCTTCTGCAGCATGTAGGCTCCTGGGGAAGGAGAAAGGGTCAGCGCGAGGCTGTGGGGGGCTGGCTGGGGGCAACGGGGTGAAGGCAGGCACGGCTTTGGGTTTCCCATTGCTACTCTCCCTGCCGTGCTCACCCCCCGAGGAGGCTCTCTCGGGACGTCCGCTGATGATGGGAGCGGTCACTCTGGCAGGGGCGGAGTGAGCAGAGAGTGGGCCCCGCTTCAGCTTTTTGGCTTGCAGCTGCGTGTCAATCTTGAGCCCTTTCAGGGCCTCGGTGGACAGGTTGCGCTTGAGCACAGCCGCTTTCTTATAGCCGTCGTAGAGGCCGAAGGCGATGTCCCGGTTGGTGGTGGTCCAGGACGCCCGCAGGTCCACGAGGTGCAGCTGGTGCGTGTGGAAACCATCGTCTCCATCCCGCAGGGGCAGCTCCTGGGCACAGAGGGTCAGAGCCTCAGCGTGGCAAAGCCACCCGCAGTCCCTGTCCACGGGCTTCACACAGGGCGGGTGGGACCCCTGCCAGTCCCCGCAGGCAGGGCATGGGGACCAGAGCCCGGGGGACCACCCCAGAGCCCCACAGCAGGGACCCATACCAGGGATGCTGTGGCTGGAACAAGGCATCCCTTTGGCCAGGCGCTCAGGTGATCAGAGGCCCTGCAGGTCTGTCTCATCTCCAGCCAAATCCCTCCCTCATTGCACCCAAAGACCAAGATCCCCTTGTCCCAGGGGGATGCCATCAGGCCAGCGCAGCCTGGGTTACACCTGCCGTGCCCGGTGTGTTTGCGGTGGTACCTCCTCAGCCATGCGGTTGCTGTGCCTCTGGTAGGTGAGGGAGGACAGGCTCAGCAGGTGGGTTTTCTTCACCAGGGTGTCGAGACGGTGGTCGGCGTTCTCGTCGCAAGTGGAGGCCATGAGATGCACGGTGACCTGGCTCAGGTCGCTCACCATCTGCGTGATGCTCCACTCCGAAATCAGGCGTCGCATCACTGTGCCGGCTGGGAGACAGGGAGAGAGGTCAGCTGGGGTCCTGCCCTGCCCGGAAGCGCTGCTGGCAGGGCCCCCGCTCACCTTGTGGGATGAGCCGCTGGGTGCCGCGAGTGAAGATGTGCCCCTGGCAGCACTCCACCTGGATCCCCCGCTGCTGGGCAAAGGAGGCCCAGTAATGCACCTGCGAGGGAGCAGAAAGCAGAAGCTGAGAGCCCAGCACAGGCAGAACGGGGAGGTAACACCAGACCCCTACCCCCAGGACTTGCCTGCAGCCGGGGAAAGAGCGCAGTGTAAGAGAGCTGCTTGTAATGCTGCCCCAGCTTCTTCTTACTGGGTTTCATGTTGTTGAAGAGCTTCCCGCGGCAGATGGGGCGCGTCACGCTGGTCCACGTGGCCCAAAAGTTCTGCATCCAGCGGAGGGTGCTGCTGTAGAGCAGGATCCGGGGCTGGGAGTGCTCTGAGAATAAACCCACCATCAGCCAGCACCATGGGGCAGGGACATGGCAGCACCCAACCCAGGACCGATAAGGATCGCTAAAACCAGCAAGCCCTGCCCCATCCCCCTCACCCCCGAGGGATCCCCAGGGCGCTGTCACCCACCCTCACTGGGCCGCGTCAGGTCCATCCGGATGGAGAGGTTGAGGTTCTCGGAGCGGAAGGCACGGTAGGAGTCGTACTGCTGCCCCACCGGCACCTCGGGCAGGAACTCAGGGGAGCGCAGCACCACACCATGGTGGTCGTGGGGGTTCCCATGGCACAGCCACTGCAGGTCCAGCGTCATGCACAGGTCAGGCAGGTGCAGGAAGCAGCAGTCGTCATATCTGAATGGGGAAAAAGAGACCCCGGTTACCCCCCGGCACTGGTGGCAGCCCCCACGCTCCCGGGCCCATGCTCACTTGGAGGCTGTCCGGACGTTGATGTCCAGGTTGCCCTTGAAGATGAACTGCCCAGGCTTCCAGTGAAAAGAGAGGTGGCTCCACTCCCAGTGCATGTTCTCCGTGGTGTTGTAGGGGTCCTGCAAGGACAAGCGTGGGGAGAGGCAGATGTGAGCCAGCCCCACACTGCGCTCTGCTCCCTACACCGGTGGCACTCACCTCAGTGGCCAGCTGGTGCAGGTTGGCCTGTTCGATGTCCATGTGCCAGTCCCCATGGAAGAGAAGACGGCTCTTGTCCCACCAGGGCAACGGGGCACTGGGGTCCTCTGAGGGCTTGGTGAGGAGATCCACGCACTGGCCGATCAGGGTCCAGGCCGGGTCCCAGCAGGGCCCCCACACGATGGTGTACTGGGAGATCTCAGCTGGGGACACAGAAATTGGCTCAGCCCTTCGCATGTCCCACACGGCCCCATCCCCACCCTGGGACAGAGTCCCTCTGCCCCTCCAGCTCTTACAATGGAAGTCATGGTAGAACTTCAAGGGCGGCATGTTCCTCTCCACCGTCGCGTCCCCCCAGGGCAGCCCCAGCTTCAGGACCTGGCGGCGCCGGGAGCAGGCCTGGCCGCACTGCTCGGCTCCGATCAGCCGGCCCGAGAGCTGCCAGTTCCGTATCTCAAAGAGGTAGCGAGGGTAGTCACGGATCCGCACTGCGGGGTGGAGGAAGGGCTGAGAGATGGGGCAGCAAAGGGACACTGCCCCACTCCCCCACTCTGGGCCACAGCAGGAGCTGCTCTTCTGTCACATCTCTGCTCCCTTCCCACTCCCTTGAACCTCCAAAAATCATTTCCCCTGCTTGGTTACACATCATGTGGTGCCAACAGGTCCCTGTCCTGGAAGCCCAGGCCACGCAGCCACCGTGTTGTCCTCCATGGGCACCGTCACGCAAAGCAACTCACCGAAGAAGCTGCCAACTCTGCCCTTCATCATGCGGCACCACTGGGTGACCATCTCCAGACCCTCAGGGGGGAACGGGCTGACACTATCCAGGTCCCTCATCTGCTCCAACACACGCTCCGTGCCATGGAAGGACTCATCGGCCATGGCCACCAGCTCCAGGTGGGCCAGGGTCCAGGTGAGGAGGGCCCTCCGCATAGGCGTGTTGGCATAGAGGCGCCGCGAGCGCTGGATGTAGATCTCGATGTTCTTCTTCTCCAGTGAGGCATAGAGCTCCTCGATCTTGCGGGCAGGTAGCAGCTCACCATGTTGCTTGCGCAGCGCGGCCACCTTGGCGTCCAGCAGCTGCAAGCGCTTGGCGCTCTCCTTGCTTTCGTCCTTCATCAGCTCGTAGTTGTCTCGTAACTTGACCTCGAAGACGTCATCCAGGAAGACCCAGGAGAAGTGCGTCACCTTGAGCAGGAGGTCGGGGGGAAGCGCCGTGCTGGCAGGGTGCCCACGCCGGTGCAGACCTTTCAGCCACTTCTGCACCCCCACGGCGGCATCCAGCGTGCGGGAGAAGTCGTACTGGTAGGGGAACTCGATGGTCACGCTGGCAAAGGAGAAGGCCCAGCCACGGTTGCGGAGGGTGCGCAGGGTGGGGAAGGCGCAGCGGTGCAAGATGACCTCCTCCAGCTCTGGCAGCAGCTTCACCTCCACCTCCTTGAAGCTGAAAATGCTGTGTCCATCAAAGCCGGCGGCCAGCTCAGGGCAGTAGCCATGCAGGGCACCGCCGTGCCAGCTCACGGAGGTCCTTTCAGCGGCCAGGCTGATGTAGTTGGCTTCAGAGACAAAGGCTGTGAGCTTGGCAGAGCTCAGCTCCAGTGACAGGGATAGGAGTCTTTTGGGGGGGGTCCCATCTGGCTGGAGGGGCCCCAGCGTCTCAGTAGGGGTGGCCGGGTGGAACATTGGGCTTTCTGGGGGCAGGGAATGAGGTGTCCTGTGGCCAAGGGCGCTCTGCAAGGCTTCGTGGCACTGCAGCGTGGCCAGGGTGTGATGGTACAAGTGCATGTGGTCGGGCGGGCTCCACAGCACTGCCAGCCCCTCTCCGCACTGCACCTACAGCAGACAGAGCGAGCAGGAACCAGGTCATTGCTCGGTCCAGCACAGCTCAGCCCCGTTCTCCTCTCCAGCACCTTTTGGTGCCAGTCAATCTTCCCCCTGCCCCATCCATCCCAGTCCCACCAGTACAGGATAAAGCAGACACCCGAGGCCCACACCAACCTCCAAGGAGCGGATGCTGCTGTGGTAGGTGACGGAGAGCATGGAGAGGTTGAGCACTGGGTTGGGGATGGCAGGAGCTTTGCAGCATGGCTGCATCTTCTCCGTGATGCTCTTCACCAAGGCCAGCACCATGCCCTGGACGCTGACCGTGCAGCTCTCGGCGCTCCCCAGGACGGTCAGCGTGTCCAGCCGCAGCTCCAGGGCGCCTAGAGAGATGGCACGTCAGTGCTGGAGGCACGGAGGAGGCACACCACGATGTGCCAGGTTCCTCTGACTGGGGGCCTGCTCCAGGACAGCCGTCTGGGATCAGCCTGGATGCTACTTACCCACCAGGGCTGAGAGTGTGAAAAGGTTCACGTCCTCCACCTTCAGATCCACCTTCCAGAGCAGGCCCCAGGGCTCGCTTGAGGCAGAGGGCGGCTGCTTGGCAAGCTCAGCTCTGCTGTGCTGCAGGCAGAACAGGGGCAGGACCCTAGCCAGGCACTCGGTGCAGGTGTCTGACGACTCCACTTGCAGTCCCCGGATGGTGCAGTCCAG